TAAAATCATATCTTGAGCATGAAGATTTGTGGCAGTGTGTCGATCCTGGCACCGATGTCGACTCCAAGAAAGATGTGAAGGCTAAGTCTAAAATCATTTTGTTGGTGGAACCAATAAATTACGTCCATATTGAAAATGCACAGTCATCTCGAGAAGTATGGATAAATTTACAAAATGCTTTTGAGGACTCCGGGCTATCAAGAAAAGTCGGCTTATTGCGAGATTTAATCAACACAACACTGGATAATTGCACAAGCGTCGAAGAATATGTGAATAAAATTATGAGTACCGCACACAAATTACGAAATATCGGTTTTCAAGTCGATGACGAATGGCTGGGAACGCTTATGTTGGCAGGTTTACCTGAGACCTATAAACCAATGATCATGGGTTTGGAAAGTTCCGGCATTAAAATTTCATCTGACTTCATCAAGACAAAACTATTACAGGAAGTAAAAGTTTCCGAGTCTTCAGTATTATATACAAAACACAAAAATACCTCTAAACACAAAGTCAAGTCGCAAGGAAAAGGGCCTCGTTGCTTTAATTGTAATAAATATGGCCATTTAAAGAATCAGTGCACTATAAAGAAACCTAATCAAAACAGTTTTTCAGCAGTTTTTTCAGCTTACAGTAATGTGGACAAAGACGATTGGTATATCGACTCAGGTGCCACAATGCACATGTCCAGACGTTCTGACTGGATGTATGATATGGAAGCATCTCCGATTCAGCAAATTAAGGTGGCTAATAATGATGCAGTCTCTGTGAAAAATATGGGTAAAGTAAACATTCAAACCACATTTTGCAAAGATGAATATCCAATCCAGGTGAGAAATGTTTTATATGTTCCTGAGTTGAGCGTAAACTTGCTATCAGTTAGTCAATTAGCTAAAAATGGTTGCAAAGTAGAATTTACTGATATGGGCTGCAATATATATAATCCCAATAAGATGCTTATAGCCAATGCAAGACTGATCAATAACATGTATAAACTTAACACTGTTTCTGTGCATGCTTATGCTGTTGCTTGTGAAAGTAAGACAGATATTATTACATGGCATAAAAGAATGGGGCATTTAAACTTTGCTGATGTAAAGAGGTTAGAATCCTGTGCTGAAGGTATAACTATCACAGATAAAAATGTTGATAGCGTTTGTATACCATGTTGCGAAGCTAAACAAACACGCTTACCATTTCCACAATCCGGTTCAAGAGCAAATGCATTGCTAGAAATAGTACATACAGATCTATGTGGTCCGATGGAGACACCATCTGCAGGTGGTGCGAAATACTTCATAACTTTCATAGATGACTATTCCCGTAAAGTATATGTTTATTTTCTTAAGAACAAGATGGATATTAAGTCTGTGTTTCAAAAATTCAAACAAGAAGTAGAAAATGAGTTAGAAAAGAAAATAAAAGTATTACGTAGTGATAATGGAAAAGAATACTGTAATAAAGAATTCTCTGATTTCCTAGCAGCTTCCGGCATCAAACATCAGACCAGCACCCCGTACACCCCTGAGCACAATGGCTTAGCGGAGCGGATGAATCGTTCATTGGTGGAGCGTGCAAAATGCATGTTATTTGAAGCAAAGCTGCATAAACAGTTATGGGCAGAGGCGGTCACTGCTGCGGCCTACATCATAAACAGATCACCGTCACGAGCTTTGGCTGAGGTAACTCCCTTTGAAAAGTGGACTGGTAAGAAACCAAACCTTTCTAATCTAAAGATTTTTGGTTGTAAGGCCATGGTACATATTCCAAAGCAAAACCGATTAAAATGGGATCGTAAGTCGAGGGAATTAATTTTTGTGGGATATTGTGACAATTCCAAAGGCTATAGACTGTATGATCCGGTAAATAAAAGGATTGTGATTAGCAGAGATGTCATATTTATTGAAAAATTATTAAATAAAAATGAGAATGATTCACAACAACCTGTACTTACCAAAGAGTTTGTGGATGTTCCTCTGAGTGAAGGAAATAATCAAGTGACATCTGATGATACATCACAGAGTGAGACTCAAGATGATACATTACACTCAAGAACTGACTCATCTTTTGATAGCTGTGTAACAAATAATAACACAACTGATGTAACATATTATCCTAGTTCCAATGATGAAGATGATACTAGTAACGATAGTTTCACAGGAAATATCACTCTAAGATCTCATCAGAGACACAATAATTTCATGTGTGTTCAACAGGTTTCAGATCCAGAAACTGTTGAGGAAGCTTTGTCCGGCTCTGATGCTGAACATTGGAAAGCAGCTATGGATGAGGAATATCAGTCATTATTAGAGAATAATACCTGGGTCTTGACTACTCTTCCAGGTGACAAACGTGCCATACCATGCAAATGGGTTTTTAAGAGGAAGACTGATGAAAATGGAGAAGTGAATAAACATAAAGCACGATTAGTAATTAAAGGTTGTTCACAAAGACCTGGTGTGGACTACACTCAAGTATTTTCACCAGTAGTAAGGTATGCTTCTCTGAGGTACTTATTTGCCTTAGCAGCTAAATTTGATTTAGATATCTGCCAAATGGATGCTGTATCAGCTTTTCTACAAGGTGATATAGAAGAGGAGATATATATGATGCAACCACCACTGTATGGCAATGGTAATCAAGTATGTCTTCTGAAAAAGTCATTGTATGGATTAAAACAGGCAAGCCGGCAATGGAACAAAAAGCTAAGTTCTGCATTGAAGAAAATTGGTCTATTACAGAACAGGTTAGATCCTTGTATTTATTATAAAATTGTAGACAACAATAACATGATTTTTTTAGCTACATATGTTGATGACTTAATTTTATTTACAAATAATATGGAGTCTAAAAAACATGTTAAGGAGGAGTTAAGCAAACAATTTAAAATAAAGGATCTAGGAGATATTAACTATTGTATTGGCATACATGTTAAAAGAGAAAGGAAGGATGGAATCATATATTTAGATCAGAAAAAGTATATAAGAGAGGTACTGAATAAATATGGCATGGCTGATTGTAAGAGTGTTAAAATTCCAATGGATGCTAATACTAAGTTAAAAGGGATATCTGAAGAATCAAGTACTTTGAATGGAGTCCCATATCAAGAAATAATTGGATGTTTATTGTATATTTCGCAAATTACTCGGCCAGATATAAGCTATGTAATAAATATGTTGAGTAAGTACAATCAGAAACCTGAAATGTCACATTGGGTGGCTTTGAAGCGTGTTATGAGGTATTTAAAAGGAACTGAAGATTACAGACTAAGTTACAAACAAAACTCAGATGAAAACATGACTCATGGCTACTGTGATGCAGACTGGGCAAGCTCGGAGGATGATCGGCGTTCCTGCACGGGGTACGCATTTCTGTTTCAGGGAGGAGCTATCAGCTGGAACTCTAAACGCCAGCCAACTGTTGCTCTGTCGACAACCGAGGCAGAGTATATGTCTTTATCATCCTGTGTTCAAGAGGCTATGTGGCTGAAACAACTTCAAGAAACGTTTTGGCCTCTTCTGAAGGATGAAGCAATGATCATTTATAGCGATAACCAAAGCTCTATTAAACTTTCAGAATCCGACGGCTATCATTCCAGGACCAAGCATATCGATGTCAGACACCATTATGTACGTGACAAAGTTATTGGAGGTGCCATTGATGTGCAGTATATCCAGACGGACTTGATGGTGGCAGATGCATTAACTAAAGCGACACCACATTCAAAACTGATCTACTGTGCTTCAAAGATGGGATTGATTTGAGTTTAAGGGAGGATGTTGAAATATTAAACATTAAATCAATAAGTATTGTTTGTTGTAGTTTCCGAACATAACCAAAAGTTTCCGATTGTTGTCACTTGTGGCGCTAGTGCATTCTGTCTGTTCTCTGTAATCTTTACCGGCTAATAAACGTATTGTTAAACTTTCATCTCGTTTATTATTATTCAACAAAATCCATCAAATAGTATATGGCTCGGCAGAAAGCCGACGTGAAACAACGTTTGCGTTGTTTCGTCGTGTGAATGAGGTTAACAGAGGCCCAATTAACCCCCCCCCCAATCTCCCCAATCCCTGAATCTACAACAATACTCAAATTCCTAATTTCCAAAAGGCCGGTAACGCACTTGTAACGCCTCTGGTGTTCCATGTGTCCATGGGCGACACCGATTGCTTACCATCAGGTGACCTGTCTGCTCGTTAACCGACTTATCCCATAAAAAAACCACACGTCAAAATCAGAAAATTTCGATAACAACGTTCTAACTCATCCCTTGAAAAAAATTAGACGTGTACCTAAAATACCAACTGACTTGCCACAAACGATGTCAGCTTGAACTTTGAACTACTGAAGTGGGATTTACATGACATTTTAAAAGCTTTCCATTTTGTGTTGACGTGCGAAATATAATCTGTGGTATTGGTTTACCTGTGGTTGTCTTGTGCCAGATATTTATGTGGCTTGAAGATGTTTCCGTGTTCAATGCCAATCTTAATCGAAGATAGGACTTCATGCTTGGTATAAACATCTATGACTATAGAACTAGCGACGTAGTCTAGAATTACTAGGTATTTATTAAACGTTACACTACACAAACGACAGTTTGACTATTATACACAGTAGGTTCGTATACACAAATTTAACATTAAATAAAAATCATACAGGCTGAACTACTTAATTCTTCAATATTTAGGAATATCTGCCTTGATCAAGCACCCTTGTAATAAGGGCGAATTTTCGATTACCTATCGAATCGAGTACGCACGTTTAAATACAATATTATGAGAATCAGAATCAGATTCTGATTCTGATATGTAGAATGCAATTTGGAATTGTACCCTGTGTAACATGTATGGTGTTAGTATTCAATAACTATTATATAGATTTAACAAAAATGTCGGAAAGCCGATCTCACATTTATTTATTTTGATATTTGCACCTCTTTGCTCTAAACACGTCATGATATCTAGGTGTGCTAAGGAAAAATAAAATCACCATAATACTTTCATAATAAGAAAATTTTATTTAATAGTTTCATTAAAATATCGTCACAGATGCCCAGTTTGTTCGTAAACAAACATAAAAACAAATAATTTATTAGACAGATACAGTTCCTACAACCATCTTGTGCGTTGGTCTGTTTAAATAAAAATTAACAATTACTTACAACTAATAATCTCAATAAAAAGAAAGAGATTCAATGTTATTAAAACAAAGATCCATTTTCATTTTAAAAATTAATTTTACATACACATTAAAAATGAACTAATTACAATTTTATCAATAGTTACTTAAAGATTAAAATTCAACAACAGATCTGTAAAAATTCTAAAAAATGGTCGTATATTTTGTACAATGATTTTTCTATTTTTATTTGCATTTTTTTAACTTTATTTTCTAACTAATAATCTCGCAGATCACTTGTTTTGTAGAGATCTTTTTTATGCTTGTAATGTTTTATACATAATATAAATGCAAAAACAATTGCGGCGTAAACCATTTTCTTTTGCAAAGATATCTTATAATCTGACGAAATTGTTTTTGAGCAGTATTTATATCAACGAAAGAGAAGTAAGTATCTAGAGATATCAGTATTTACTAAAGCGTCAAGTCATGTGAATAGATCTCCAATTACATTATTTTAAATGGATTACAATAAACTATTTACTCCGAACAAATCTTCGACATTAAGGCACTGATTCTCATATTTATGTACAACACTTTATGTACATTTTAAGGCACTTACACACCTGTATACATAGTAGTTAATATGTAAAATTAATTATAATAAGCACCTTATCTAACTGGAAGACGTAATCTAATAGATATGTACAATCTTGCTTACAAACATGTCTTTTACACCAACTATTTTAAAACTAATGTACTTCTTTAATGTCAAAATGTATTGTATCAACATTCGTTTCATTCAAAATCCAAATATCAAAGACTTACAAAAACATTGACTTTGAATTCGGCTTTGCATATTTTTTTTCAGCTTTCACTCAGAAAATCTTGCCAAAAGAACAGACCTTACAATTTATAATAAAATTAATCAGTCTCGACGAGAGAAGAGTTTTAAAACAACCTTTAGTTTCTTGTGCACCATTAACAGATCTTATAAATTACTTATTTTACTTACATCAGTTGCTTACTAAGACTTAATATGTATAAAAATGTTCATTAGATCGACTCTGCATTGACTAAACAAACCACTATAAAAAGCTATAGAAATAATTCCATGTATAGTTAAAATTATTGAATCATTTGGAGGTATTGGTTCTCTTCATAAAACGAAGACAATGACGTTTGCAGATCATTTACAACCATGTTGTCACCACCCTGCAAGGGATGCGTACTACTCGACACCATTTCCGAACTTTTCCAATTTTCACAACTTTCCACGTACTCTAAAGTCCTTTGATACGTTTCTTGTCTCATGGTGTTGGCATTTTGGTTCTTTTTTCTTCCATTATTTGCTTCTATCTGCGACTGAGAAATGTCCCACACTTGGACTTCACTCGTTGGATTGTTCTGACTTCTCAAACTGTTCATACTGCAGTCAGTCTGCTGTTCTCCCTTCATCTGATTCTGATTCATCGGTACCCTCGCTCCGTTCCCCGGCTTTTGACTACCAGTAGACATGTTCATGGAGTTCTGTACAGACTTCTGCATGTTGTGCTTGTTGAACTGGTTTCCTGGGTAGTCCCACTGGTTATACGGCCTCTGATGGTTGTAATACTGGTTGTTGTTCAACATGGTTTGATTGTACTGATGGTTATTCTTCGGAGGAGGTGGTCCCATCACATTGGCAGCATTCACAACCGAGTTATATGGCGGTGGTTGTGGGTACTGCATGTTCTGGTTGTATTGCGCATTCTGCATCGGCGGACATTGGTTCTGCTGCTCGCAGTAGTTGTTCATCGTCCCTCTGCTCATGTTACCACTATTGTCTACACTCATCATCGATGATCTCGACATTTGCAGTGGATGCATCTGGTTGCTTTGGTTCGTGTAGTTCACTGGTTGGTAGTTCATCTGGTTGTTGTAAACCATGTTCTGGTTGCCCATTTGATGCATCGGCATCTGGTTTTGATTGTATTGTTGCATCATTTGATATTGTTGCATGTTTTGGCTTCTCATCATGTTCTGATTCTGTACTGGGTAAGGCGGAGCTTGGTTGTATTGTTGATTGTGATACTGGTTCATATTATTTCTGTTCGGTACCTTGGCGTTACAATTTCTGTTGTTCATGTAATTTGGATTTACTGCCATTTGTTGACCTTGGTTCATGTTCATGTTCATCATCTGATTTTGGTTTGGAACCTGCGTGTTCATTGTCATGTTGGACATATTTTGCACCATTGGACTTGTCATGCCTTGTCCCATAGGGCTTTGTAGGCCTGGATGCATGGGACTCGGCATTCCATGACTATGTGGGCTGGCTATATTTTGGCCCATTGGACTTGCCATGTTAACCATAGGACTAGCCATGTTCTGTGACATGGGGCTGCCAATGTTGTTGTGTCTTGGACTCATCATCATTTGATTTGGCATTTGTGGGCTCATTAAGCTTTGCATGCTTTGTGGGCTCATTGCGTTATGTTGGGGAGACATGACACTCATGACACTTTGTGGGCTCATGACGTTATACACACTGGGAGGGCTCATTACATTGTGAGGTATGTTGTGAGGACTCATGACACTCTGCGGGCTCATAGCACTATGAGGAAGGCTTTGTGGACTAAGCATGCTATGCGGTAAGTTCTGTGGACTTAACACATTCTGATTCATGACTACAGTTTTAGGACTCATCGCGTTCTGTTTCTGAGGTAATGGATTTGCTCTCATCCTATTCGTTTGTTCTGTTTGGTTCGCAGTCATCGTCTGCAATGACTGTAAAGGGTTCGTTGGTACGTTGTTTGAAGGCGGTTTAGTGTACTCCTTTTCACATTTTTCTGGAACAACTTCTGGTATCACTTGTTCTTGTAAGGGAGTACCCTTATCATCAGGCGACTTGGAGTTGAGCAAAGAGCCGCTGTTACCCGACATACTAACGTCTAGAGATCTTAAATCGACTGGAATATCACTTATGTTGAGATCACTTCCTATGGCACCTAAGTTTTTAAGTAGAGAATCGTCACTGGTGGCTACATCACTAATTTTGTCACTGGAATTGTTTGTGTTAGGGACGTCACTAGTTGCATTGTCTTTGGTAGCACTTTCCTTGTCTTTTGAGGTTTCTTGTTCAGGTTGGTTGGTGGAGTCAGTTTTAGCTGGTGTTACCGATTCCGTTGCCAATATTGATTGGTTAAGATATTGCATCATTTCATCTGGTATTACCAGCTTATTTTCCACCATTTCACCTTCGGCAACCTGAAATGAAAGAAATCATTACAATGTAAACTTCAAACGATTCTTGCCAAATATAATTTTTATGTGTCAGTGTGGTAAATACTAAAAAGACGATGATGACGATGGTTATCTTACCTGTTCCAGATTGACCTCCTGGTTGGGGTGGTGGACCTGCGCCGTGGTGATGACGACGGTGTTAGTGGAGTTAGAACGAGACTCTTTGTACGTCACCGTGTCTTGGTCATCTTCTGTCTTGAATGGGAATGGAGCATCACCCTGAAAAAAAAATAGATTATTAATAATGATGTGTTACGATATGGCGCTAGTGAAACGCTAGTAGCGTGGGTTGTATTAGGTAAATCAGTTTGGCTGTTACACATCAATGACTAAATATTTGATATTGAAATCAGTTTGAGTCATAAAGTACAATAACTTACCACATCATCAGTTCCACAAGGGTACTGTTGGTACTGGGCCTGGTCGCTCAGGTTGGACTGTTCGGACAGTCTTCTGGCTTCCTCCTTCACTTGTACATTGGGGTCAAGCTCCAGCGCTAACTCCTCAGCTCGTACTTCTGAACAGGTCACTCCTCGGAGAAGAACAGCCTGGAAAACGAATTCTAGGGTTACAACTATCCAAAGAAATATGTCTTTGTGGAAGATAGTATTGCAATAACTTATGATAGGTTTGCACACATATTTTGTATAAACTGCAATATTCAATAGGGATAAACCTTACCTGATTGCCTTGAGATGTTCTGACGGCTTGTACAGCAGCGAGTGCTGATGATGGCGCTGGGGCATAACCCACACAGGAAACTTGACTAGATCTGAAATAAAAATGAAGGGTGGATATGACTTTTCAAATTAAAATAAGACATCAGAACAATTAGTGGAAGGGCTACTTTCAGATATTTTTTCATTACCGGGTGGATGAAAGGGTGAAGTCCGTTGCAAACTCGACAAAGGATTTCTAAAAGATGCATGTAAGAATTATTTATTCGTGTTGGAAAAACCGGGTGTTATGCCATTTATAATCTGCAGTCATGCTTGTCGCCCTGTGCATGTTGTGCTGCTGTGGTGGCCCGGAGGTTTTAAGACGCCTACTTCTCATGCATGACAGTGCGGGTACCAATATGACATTTCCGATTTATATGTACTTTCTAAGATTATTCAGACATCACTGACAAACGGTGAAGGAAAAAATCGTGATCATTTCTAATTATAAGTTTCAAATCGCCAACCCGCATTGAGCAAACGTGGTGATTAATGCTCAAACCATCTCCGTGTGAGAAGAGGCTTACGATTTACAGTTCTAATGTTATGATCCTTACCTTCTACTGCTGTCAGGAGAGAGTTGGTCGTAGACAGTAGTGTGCTGTGACACTAGGCGCTGCGGCCCGGCGACGCCTGTCGTGGTCGCCACCGCACCCGACACGACTGATGCTTGGCTGCTCTTTCGTGATATGTCTGATGATCTACAGGAACAATATTTTGAATTGAGGTGAGAGCCTGGAGATTCGTCACACAGGGAATCCTAGTATGGACTCCAGTCTCTCACAAAGGAGTACCTACATTGTTTGCATCTGATTATTGTATCTTGTTACTGTGAAATATCCTTTGTGTAGAGAGATAACAAATACATTTATTATTTATTTATAATTGGTAATTAAAAGATTCCATAACAATGCTTTGAATACTAGTTACCTTGACCCCTGGAGAAAAATTATTATTACTACTTACATCGTGTCCTTTAATATACCTAATTATAACGTTTAGTTGAAAGTAGGAGTGACATATTTACCTTGCACTATAGAGACTGCTACCAGATGAGATACCAGAATCTCGCCTGGTGTTCGGAACTCCTGTCTTCAGTTCTACTGCAACATTGGTGCTGCCAAGCTCAGTTCTTCCTGGTAGTCCACCTGCTGATAAAAACCCTGGTCATTAGAATATGTATGAAACTATACTATGACATAATTAATATAAAGCTTTCCCTTTTGTTTCGTTTGGCAGAAAATACTGGTCTTTTTTTATGGTCTTCTATAAAAACTCGAAGACTTGTCTTTACTAACTAAGTATATTACCAGAATGTTTTAGAGATAGGAATGGCAATTAGACAGGCATCAAGAGTGTCTAACAAAAAAATAAACTAAATTTAAACACCATAGGGACAGTATGAATCTGCATCATAAGTGACGAAATACATACCAGGGCCAATATCCGGATGTGGTGGCGGCATTAATCTCGCGACCGCCATCTTGTTTCCGAACCTCGGCGCGTGGTGATGCGCACGCGGCTCTCCAATAGCCACCATGGCTCGAAGCATTAGGGGCAGTTGACCAACTTCACCTACAACTTCTTGTTCAACCTGGAAGAAGATAACACATGAATTACAATGCTAATTTATATTACGGAAGCATTTAACCTGATACTAAATAAAACTACCACAAATGGTGAAAAATATAAACAGAAGATTTAAAAATAAGATTAACAAACTAGACTGACGTGTTATTTTTGACAGAGCCTTATTCTTTTATGAGGCATCATTAGCCATAATGACTAATTTTGGAAACGAAAATATTTAGACTGTAGATAATAGGTATATTCATTAAAGTTCATCACCATCGGTATAATTGATAATAGTAACAAGAGGTCACTGCACTGACAAACTGTTGAACATAGGCCTCCCACTACCTCGAACTAAAATAGTTATAAGACATTCCATTAGCTATTTAGGACTTACCTCTCCATCCAGCCTGAAGTAAGGAGCACCGTTCTCATCCCCGAAGCCGCCCAAACCAGAACCACCGAAATCCAGTTCCCCACCACACTGGGCAGATAGCTGATGGATGAAATAAGATATCTAATTTAGTAATAATCAAATCCTTTATATCAGCTAACTTGTTCTACTGAAATCGGATGACTATGCTTAAAATAGAACTTCTTTTATGTTTGATGGGTCGGTGTTTGACCACTATCTCATCTGGTGGTAAGCGATGCTGCGGTCTACGATGGAGCATGTCGACCCATTTATTAATTATTTTTCTTGAGAAACCAACTACAATGCTACTTTTCCTTAAATATTCACTCGTCGGTTTAATTATTAGTTAGTAATTTTGGATTTTTGATGTCCTTTATTCTACTGTAGCTCTGAATCCATGGCAGAAATTATGTCCAGGGATTTGACTAATGAGACTCATGACATAACTGGGTGCTCTTTATGATACAACACCTCATTTAGTTCTTTTAGTTCTGTGTATCTTAAAATAGAACAGAAATCTTGTTCTATGCTACTCAAATTAGGTTGTTTTTAAATTTTCTAATGACCATAAATGTTCCAAATACCTGATGTGCAGGAGTATGCAATCCATGCGGTATGGGTGAGGCTGGACTTTCACTCTTGACAGAGGCTGATGATGTGTGTCCTCTGACACCGATGGGCACTCCACCCTCCTCAGAACGGGGAGAAGACCCTGCTCCACCACCACCTGATTCCGCTGAATCATCACCACGACTGCAACCTGAAAAATGGAATCGAAATACTAAGTTACGACTGGACTCTATCTAGATCTTAATGAATTCAATATATTTTACTAGACTTCTCAATTTGCTGAATTTAAAAACGATTGCCAAGATTTACAACTTGGTTTATATATGTACTTGATGCAAAATGATCATCATTGGACTCAATAGAATATCAACAAATGTTATTTACATTGATTAATGATGATGACATTATTTTTGTACCCCTTAACGTATGAGTTTACTTAGTTATTTTATTGAATATCTCGATAAAGTTTTGATACTACGAGTCTAATTAAAATAAACCAATCTTTACCTTTATGCTTCTTACTGGCGTAGAACTCAGCGCCATGCACAGTTTTCACGTGTTTCCGTAACGATGAGGGATCCGTATATCTCTTCGTACACCCTGGCGCTTTGCAAACGTATGGTTTCTGAAATGACAGAGTGACTCTGTTAAAAAATCTACCACTGATGGACAAAACTAAAAAACAATTCCCTTTCGAGTTGGGAAAAAAGGAATATCGAAACTAGGTTAAACAGCAGTTTTAATTACGATTGTTCCTCGCATAGTCTTGCTTCTTCTGTAGCTCATAATTCGTAATTACAAAAACTATCAGTTTTCTAATATTCTGACCAAAATCTGCTTATAAAATAATAGAACTTACCTCATTACTATGCGTCCTGTTCTGATGCTTAGCTCTGTCGCTAGCATTTGAGAAAGCCTTCGCGCATCCAGGATATTCACAAGTATAAGGTTTTTCTCCTGTATGACTTCTTAAATGGGTCTTCAGGTTTTCAAGTCGGGAGTATGCTTTACAGCAGCCTTCAAACTATGAAAGAGATAGGCAGGAGTTAAATAAAGTAAACATAAAAGTCGATAAACAAACTTGTAACGCTTGAAAGGTAGAATGGAATGGAAAATGCACGAAATTCCCGATTGAGTCAGTTCCTTATTGATCCTCAATATAAAAACGACGTAGTTTTATTAATCATAGTTCCAATAATGGAAAATAATATAAACCGTTCCCTAAACTATGTCTACTTCGTATAAGTTCTCTTTTATAATCCATTGGTCTTGTTGACCTTTGTTTGACACAAAAGACCATTCCAACCTTCAACAATAATTATAATATTTCAAACAATACTCACCGTACACTTATGAGGCTTTTCTCCTGTATGTCTTCTCATATGTACAACCAACATATATTGAGCTTTGAAGGGTTTTTCATCTCTGGAGCATCCTACCCAGCGGCAGACGAAAGCCTTTTTGCTGGCGTGGATATGATCTGTATTGATGTGTTTCACCAGATCATCTTGCGTTGGGAACTCTAGCTTACAATCCACCTGGAGAACAAAATTATCAGATTATAGAAAAGGGGAAGAAAAATCACATTACAAAAATAACTGACTAGGTATAAGAACGGTAACACATTGGACGATGACCGAAATCTGGAAGATGTTGCGTGAGGAGGCCCCCTGCTAAGTGGACCGAAGACATTGTCGAGAGTCATGAGGAACCATCACTTATAATTGGCAAGTTGTTGTTCAGCGTAGAGGATTAAGGGTAAGGCCATTGCTAACCTTACTTAGCAGTGGTCATCTTCTGGTTTTGGTCTACAGTATGAATTTCGTACTCACCCAATGACAATTGGTCTCGATGAAGTCCCCAGGTTCATCCTTGGAATCCAGTCCATCATGGACGGTGCTCTCAGCAGCCGCTGATAGTGGTTTGTTGCTATGGTGGTTCTCCCGGTGACCCATCAGACCTTGGGGGGATTTCCGCTGCGTCATTCCTGATGCACTGTGAAAGAAAGAAGAAAGATTATTGTAGCAGCTTATGATCACGTTTAAATAGTCTGGTCTGGTAAATTACGCGTTGAACGTGGAGTGATTACTTTTTTGATTTTTGTCAACTTTGCTCTGCATTTAGTTTATCTCCTGCATCGTAGGTATGTTAACAAACATACAATTTTAATAACAGATCACACGCGGACCCAAAAGAACAATTTGTGAATCACAGAAACCATAAATTGTTCTGTTCGAGAATTGACAGCAAGCACTGGGTGGCCCAGTTACACCGATCATTGACACATTAGCATGGCTTATTGTCAAATAAATATGAAATCTACTGTTCTTGTATTCATACCTAAAGAAACTCTCCTTACAGCTCTTATATTCATACCTATCAGCTTCCATGACGCTAGTGATCTCAGGTTGTTGTGGGGGCTGCTGCAAATGCTGAGGAGGTGTTCCGTCCAGGGTTAAACCTGGCCGAACGTCCACTGGAGCACCCATTAGGAGTTGTGTCGGGGATGATATGTGAGATCTGGCGAGAATATTTATAATGTTTTATTCTTCTGTTCTTAGAGTATGACTTAAAGAACACGTTTTTATTTCACTGAAGGGGTAATAACGTTATGATTTGCTTGCTAGGTATAGGTAGCCTATACACCATTTAACCACAGAGGTTTTCCATGTGGTGCAAAATTACCCTCTGAAACTTGTGATAAAAAGTTGCAGTTTCACAACAATATTATTTTTTTATTTTTTTTAAGACTAACTAATGACTGCTGACACTTACTGACTAAAAATCACCTCGTTCCTACTCCTGCACTTCGAACCGGAGCCCCGGTAACCCGTTAAGTTCTCTGGTATAGAGTTTCGTTGTTTACTAGTACATACGTCTAATTTGTAGACAATGAGTAATCTAATAAGACCCTATAATTTCAAGTCAATTTCCGTACAAAATTAACCACACTTGAGTGCGGTTCAACTCATTATTACCTAAAGATACCAGACTAATACATACAGGCTGATTATCATTGCTCTTTACACACTAATTAACCGAATCGAGGTCTACTAAATTCCAAAATATTGACGTCACAAGTAAAACGTAGCTTACTCATAGGATTAGCGAATTTGTGAAATATTTTTGGGACACGATCTAGCAAAAATTAATTTAAACGTCTTAATTATAGAGATAAGAATCGCCTGGATTCAGAAAGGTCAAAGTGTGCTTTGACGTGTGTAATTGCTAACGGCATCAGAAATGTTAGGTACCTACCTAATAATTATTTTGTAGTTGATGTAATTGCTTTATTATAGGAATTATTTAGTATAGACAACTTAATATGTTACTCCTTAATAGAGATCTTTTATAGTGATTTTAATAGACTTCGTGATAGACTGTTGATTTTCTGATAGGCTGAATAAAACAGCACCAAATATCCCATTCAAACCACATCGGCCTGTTGCGCTTGATTATTGTTACCATTACGTGTGCCGTATGCTTTTTTACCTCCGTCGTGGTATAAAAACAATATCATAAAAATCTTTGGAAAATTTTTCGAATACAGTATCAAAAAGTAAAGATTTTACCAACATTTCTCTTTGGACTCTACTCTTATTTCTTACTCTTATTTTCTCAGTTAAAATATCGCACAAACTTTACACATAATTACATCAAGTATGACTCATTACATCGACTGCAACTAGCATCAACCAAAACCACCAACAAAAGTCCCACTTACAACTAAATATTCTCTTACCTATGGATCCCCGCCACGAGGTGCGCATGCGCAGCGTGGTGCGCGGCGGCGGCTGCAGCCTGCTGGTGGGCAGGGTCCATCAGAACCCCTCCCGCCAGCACCCCACTTCCCCCCACCACGCCCCCCCGCGCCAGCAACTGCTGCGCAAGAGACGCGTGCGAGAGAGATAGAGCTGGAGATATTGCTCCTGAAAAAGTAATAAAATATGTTTGTTTAATTTTTTATCGGATCCATCATACTACCGTTAATCATCAGCAAATGCATGTTAGTGATGCTGAATATAATAGAATATAACTGCTTTTATAAATTATGTACTTTACGTTTTGTATTCTCATTGACGTCTAAAGGATTGAACACTTCTTTATACATTCCTTTAGATGACATAACCTGAGATTCCTACATTTGAAAACCCCTCAACTTTTCTTTTAATCGATTAGTATCGATATATCAACTATATCAATATCTATAAAAAAGCTTAGAAAAACATAAATAATAAATACCAAAAGAGTGCCAATGATCTTGAAACTCACCGGCACTAAGATGTCCATAGCTGCCTGTAGAAGCTGCTGAAGGTGCTCTCACAGCCAGGCTGGCAGGAGACGCCCTGATCACAGCTGCCAGGTCCAGAGACTCGGCTGAGTATGGACTCCAGGAAACTGCTCTCTTGCGGTTAGCTGATGCTCCTATAGCACCTCCTGATAACCTTAATCTAGTTGGTGAGGCTATTCTTGAACCTGGAGAGGAAATTTATATCGATTTAGTTTTAGGATTTGAAGTTAAAGGTCTATCATGGATATAAATATAAATGTCATGTCCCGATCGACTGCAACCACGGTGACCTGTCTGTCTAAACGAACCTGGTAGTTATGCAGGAGTAGGAGAACTGTGCATAGGTGCAGTCACTATTCCCTCACCCAGTTTTTAATTTCGATGCAACCGGACTGCGGCATGACCGGAGATTGATTAGGTGCTCCTGCACTAGGTAGACATCCTCTCATTTAATGTAATATACAGAAATGCAAAATCATTTGATGACTTCTTTTCAATGAACCTCATTATTACAACGCTAATGAAAATAAGCTGCTATTCCAAATACCATTTAAAAGTTCACGTCAACACTAAAAAGATACAAAACACTATCTAATCCAGATTATTTTTAGCAAAAACAGTTTAGAAGTCAATCAACTATTATTGAAGGAAATTAATAACTAAATTATAAGTCTGGGATGATTGATAGACTAATATAAAATCGTTGTTTAGTTATTAAATGACTGAATTACTTCCGTGCTACTGATACAAGATTATAGCCAATTACAGACTAATCGTTCCTCCTAGATTTAATTTCGTTAATAGTTTTCTCTGCAACTGGTCTAGATATAAAAAATACAAGTTTATATTTGTTCGTTCAACCATAGTATCAGTGATGGTTAATTTTTACGTAACTAGTGCGTAGTATGGCTAGTATGATTTAATTTCGTATAAAGCACTCAACATACTGGTCTTTAGTAGCAGCTGAAATGTCTAAAAGACAATATATAAAACTTTCTTTATTAGCCTTATATAGTATATTATGTCTACGCAATTTCTTTCACGATATAGATATCGATACATTTACCTTAACTATATAAAAAAAAACCACTAATTGTACAATGTTACTGAAATCGACCTCTGATTACTTTGTCATTTCAATGTACCTCTATAATTCAGTTTATCATGTCCAAATGGACAATTGGTCTGCCTCGTTGGCCGAGTACTTAAAACTGCGACTGCGGCGCCAAGGACACAGTAATACTTTATCAAAGTATTGCTTTTTAATAATTCTCAGTAGTAGCATAGAGTCTGGAATTATGCCCGGTATATAGCAGGCTCACCCTCTATTACATGGGACTCATAGTCATAACATAAATAGTAAAAAGTGGGTGTTACATTGTACAATGACAGTGCTGTAATGTGTACCTCTGCCTATCCCTTCGGGGATAAAAGGCGTGATATTATATTTAGTCTAATAAATAATCTCGACTTTAAGTACAGCATCAGTTTACAGACTAGTTTTTAAAATAATTTTCTTACCTTCTAGACTAAGTTGAAAGTCTTGGCTAGCGAGTGTACTGCCAGCATGCAGCTCTGGATGCAAGCTCCTTGCTGCACTAAGGTATTCTAAACCTGAAACAATTAACACAATTCGTTATTAATTATAAACATCAACGTTTGTTGCTAGAAAGTCGAGAAACCCCAAGAAGAATCAAGAAATGTAAATTATTTCATTTAAACTTGTCATAAACCGAAATTGAATCCAAGACCAATAAGTAAGCTGATGATTACGACACCATCAAGATAGTAAAACTAATCTATTCAATAAATAACTTGATTAAGTCATTGCTTATAATTTAAATTCATTCTAAATAAAATGCCAGAAATCTTGAATAGATTAAAACCAAAATTTTAGTCATATTCTTCAATCTTAGCTATCTAATTTCAATAAACTTAAAATGTAACGTCTTCATAGTCCATTTTAAAGGCCACAAATTAGCCTGGCCTTAGTCACTGTGTCCGTAATAAGCCGAGATTGAGTTGTCACCATGTAGCTGACCATTTTGAATATAAAGTGGTCGATTAGCGCCGTATGTGATTAATGTGGTACCGGATGTCTTTACGAGCTATTTCGCGGGAACAGATTTCATGCTGACTAAATTGGGAATGTCCTAATATGTCGCCACTAATTGGACACCCTACATAATGTGACAGTTCTGGACATGGCTGCTGCTATATTTGCATAGACAAGCATTCAATGTTAAACAGAGATAAACTACTTTTTGTGAGAAATGTTCTGCTCCGTACATGACGCTGAAGTACTCGCACTAACCTCGATGCATTTCTGAGATTCAATAAAAAGCAGAGGGCAATTAAATTAAAGCCGTGTGTATTTTTGTAACACCTTTGTTCGATTCACATCGTTAACCGAACTCGATAACGACTGCACTCACAAAAGCATTAGTCATCCTTATTAAAATCTATCCTTCATCGAGGAGGCGGCGTTTAAGTAACAAATTTCCATAATAATCACATCTCAGACGTACGAAAACAAACACGCGGCGGGTTCCAAACGAGAAAAAAAAACGAGCCAACCATTTGATTTGTTGATCACGCTTTGCCGGCTCCGAGGCGGGCGATTTGCCCAAAAATAATAGGTTGATGCAAAAGGCGTCAGCGGCCAACAATTTTGCAAACGTAAGAACGACCCAACAAGAAAATAATACCCAAATCCCACGAATATAACGTATGTGGTCTCCTTTTGACGCGCCGCCCGACTTCCAAAATTTTTATGTCTTCATCGTCATGAGAACCGGCGGAAAACGACATTCGTGTCCTTTTAAAATAAGAGAAAAAGATATCATCGATCGAATTTGAGGCCAATCGACTTGGCCACGAATTCCATTACCAGGCTATGGTCACCCTAACGACATTGTGGTAACAGAGCGCAAAAACTTTATTCGAAAACCGACTTTGTGTGTGTTTTTCTTAGAGGTGATTTTTGAATGTGTTGTGTCGAAGCGAACTTGTTTTTGTACCAAAATCGATAGGTCGATTGGAGTCCATTTGATATTGATGTATTAATTTTTATCCGAGTCGATTGGGCGTAAAATTAGTATTTCGATGTTCGGTATCTAGTGGTTTCGTGGTCACGTTTAGCGTTAATATATGAATGTCAATGGCTTTGTTGGGCGGCGTCTTTGGCCGCGCGCGCACTGACTTTGTAACAGCGTATACTAATGAGAGTCGTTGTAAATTATGAGTTTGGTTGTTATTCGAATATGCGGCGAGATGAAGGCGTTACGACGTGAATTTGTAATGGCGGCGTAGGTATTTTTTACGGCTTTACCATTTTGAATATTCACGGGTTTATAAAAACCAAAGGATGTAATATTTTGTTTAATAATTGCAGATTTCCTTTAGATATCAAGTTGAGATACCTAACTTTAAACTTTGAAATGTTATTCATGCAGTTTCATTTGCACAGTTATTTCATAACAACTAAAACAAAAAGACAAGATCTGAACGATAAAACAAATTCATTTGGCACCTAATTTCCTCAAAAGCTCTAGACAAAACAGGTACCGCCTAGCGTTAAAATTCACAGGAAAAAACGATTCTCATTAAACCATCAATGTCATAAAACGATTAGTATATTTGATCGTTAGTTAGGGTGCTGCAAAAAACCGACCGTGTTTACTAATGAAGTTTTTACACTGTGGTCCAAAGAGTGTGACCACAGAGTCTACACCAGCGGTTCCCAACCGATGACTATACTACCGATATATTATGACCCGCAAAAAAAACTACAGAAGACTAATCTCTATCCAGTACCTAAATACCATGATTACAGCTCGAATTAAACTTATGTCAAAGGAGACAGTCAGGCAGCAAAGCATGTTGTAAATCCATAGATACTTTTAGATCCTTTTAGATTATCTAAATGTCACTATTTTTATAAGTAAATGAGAAAATCCGACTGTAAGAGTGTAACACAATATGAAATTAGTAATAGTGGTCTAACCGTCTAAGAATAATATAAAAGCGGTCCTTGACCAGAAAAGGTTGAGAACCCCTGATCTACAGGTAGTCGGTGTAAGAAAACTACTTCATGGAATTGAAAAAAGGACAAAATAGTTAAATAAAGTTATCCCCTTCATTTAATTTTTGATTGACTTCGGTCTGATTGAAAGATATCAAATTGTTAAGTGGATGTAGAAAATAGCTATAGGCTAATCTGTATGATTAGAGGGATACTTGACGATTAGTTTTTGATGCGATGCGTATTTATCTTTAGATTTATAATAAGGCTTTTATTAATACTGGTTCAACAGATACATGCTCTTATATAGGACATTTGACGTCTTGCCAATATATTTATACATTGGCAAGACGTCAAATTTAAATTATTATTATTAAATAATATTCTTTAATAATAACAATTTAAATTTGACATATTTATAAATATGTCAAATTTAAATTATTATTAAAAAATAATAATTTAAAAAGAATCATAACATTTATACATTGATTTTGCCTGCCTCGTTGGCCGAGTGGTCGCAAGTGCGACCCGGGGGCAAGAGTCTGGAATTGTGCCCGATATTATTGCAATAGGCTTACTCCCTATTACATGAGACTCGTAACATAATAGTAAAAAGTGGGTGTTACATTGTACAGTGGCATAATGTGCACCTCTACCTACCCCTTTAGGGATAAAAGGCCTGATGTTATTATAAATTATTGATTTTTCTTTGGCAATGAATTCTTTTCATAATATAGATTACAGATCGCAGGATTTAGAGCTATATTGACTTTGCTAATCACCAGTTTGAATAGGTCTTCAATACCATTGGTTTAAAAGAAGTGATCTTTTTCAGATTTGATCGTCTCAGGAAGGCTATAGATGACAGTACACTGCGACTCTTAGCACCACAGAAGATAAAGCAAAATATTGCTATTAAATAATACTTTTATCAAGATTATTCTCAACCTATTAAGTTATAAACACCATATAGTATCAAAACGTCTTAATAAACTTTGAAATAAAAATAAAAAACTACATAATGTGACGCATACATCGCTTTAACAACATGAAATTATATTCTTAACGGCATAATTATAGGTTTTGTAAACTAGCAACTTTTCTCTCTTTCCCTCCTGTTTCGAACCAATCTTTCTATCTCGTTCTAATCGTCCTTTTCGATTTTGTTTCGCGAGATGATCGCTGATGATTTATTCATAAACGTTCATATTTATTTTTTAGGGATCCTTTGGATGCTAACAGGACTTCAATGGAGAGGCGAAGTTTAGCTGTCTGTCATGTCAAAGTCAAAGTCAAAGCATTTATTTCAATTAAACCATAGTTTGGTACTTTTGAAACGTCAAAAAATACAAAATAAACAATAATCTGTCCGTCAGTCAGTCAGTGAAACTAGGTGAAGCTAGGTGCTCATTCCAAAATGTAGATTCGAATGGAGAAGAACGAACAAGAAACTCCATTCGTTACTCTTTAAAAAAAAAGTATGTTCTACAATGTCTCTGATACATATTTCAATACTGTATGCATATGTAAGAACAATGCAAAGACACGCTTGACGCATTATACTAATAACTTACTAAAATAAAAAAAATAAAGTCGTACCTATCTTACGAAAAGTTTCAATTCTGAAGATCTACTACGTCTGTGCACTTTTAAAATTAAAGTCAATCACAATCCCAATCGTCTGAACAATGTTTGGAACATCATAGTGTAACATAACATCATGTCTTTTATCCCTGAAACCCATGGACACTCGGAACACCAGAGGCGTTACAAGCGCCTTACCGGCCTTTTGGGGATTGTTGGAGATTTAGGGACTGGGGAGATTGGGGAAGGCGGGAGGGTTATTGGATCTCACTCGGTAACCTCACTCAGACGAAACACAACGCGAGCGTTGTTTCACGTCAGTTTTATGTAAGGCCGTGGTATCACTCTGGTCGAGCAGGCCCATTCGTGCTGAAGCATAGCTCTCCCTCACTTGAAGGTGCATACATACAAAAATATTTAATTCTATTCGGAACCCACTATAAAGTTTAACTCACACTTGATTAGCCTTTTATTATTATTTTCTTAGAAGTGGTTTAGAACTGTGATTTGAACCACTACTGGGTTTAAGTTGAATTAGTTGTTAAGTTAGGCTTGAAAAAGGTTTTTGAGCGAACTTTAGTTGTTTTTTTAAACCGTTTAACTTATTCTGTGGTGATTAACTTCACTGAGTTCTGTGTGGCCGTGTTTAGGAGGTTTGATTAAGAACAAGGTTCAGTTATTTATAGTTGGTGCGACTGCCGGTCGAGGGGTCTCGGATTCGATTACCGGATCAGGCAAAGTATTACTGGGCTTTTTAAAACTTCTCTATAGTAGCACGGAGTCTAGAATTGATATCCCCGATATTTATATCCCCGAAGGGGTAGGTAGAGGTGCACATTACGGAACTTAATGCCACTGTACAATATAACACCCACTTTTTGCTATTTATGTTATGAGTCGCATGTAATAGGAGGTGAGCCTATTGTCATATATACCAAGTACAATTCCAGACTCCTTGCTACCACTGAGTTTTTACAAAAACCCAGTAATACTTTATCCGACCCGG